TGCAGGAGGAGGTGAATTTATATAACCTCTTTAAAAGCTGTGAGATGTTCAGTGTGTTTTCTCAAGCCTCCTGGCTCAATAGGATTACAGCAGTACAACAGATTGGATTCTACCTATTGATTCGGTTAGTAATTTGCGGCACATTGGGGATCATTACGCGAACAAAACTGGGAAACTTGGAGCTGTTGTGCTGAACATTGTGCATCAGAATTTGGCAGCTTGAAATTGGTGATAACAGCTGATATAAGACAATTCACAGCATAGTGAAACTGCATTTCTAGAAATCTAACTTACAGCATTAATTGTTTTTTAAAATCATGCTTGTCACTACTCCCCAGGTGTTTCCAGATGTTCCAGAAGAAGTGGCTTCTGGTTTGTCATCAGGCGCGTTCCTCACTTGTTCAGCTGATAACACCGTGAGAGTGTGGCGCATGGACGACTGGACACAAACTCATCCTCCAAACATCCTGAGCCAAGTGAGTTTGACTTCCAAGCTCCGTATTCTCTTCAGCTGTGTTTCGAGTACAGCTGTGAAGAGTTACTGTCTGTCTCCCTCGTTTCTATAAAGGATCTTTTGAATATAATCTACATCGACGGGAACGCCAGCACCTTGCTGGATTCAGAGTGTGTAACGAGTGCGAATTCAGAGGTCAAGTCGGGGGATGGACAGACAGCGGAAACCAGGACGGGCATCAGGACCATCTGTGTCAGCCCGGACGGCAAACACCTGGCATCTGGAGATCGCAACGGCATGCTGAGGTAGGACGGGAAGACTGAGGGTGAGGCTGATGACGGACTGACGTGACCTCTGTCCTAAAACTGTGATATTCTGCAGGGTTCATGACCTCAGCAGCATGAAGGAGATTCTTAAGGTGGAAGCTCATGATGCTGAGATCCTCAGCCTCGAATACAGTAAACCAGAAACAGGTCAGTGTGTGTGTGAGACTGTGTTAGTTACTATAATGATGACACGCTTGGAGAATGTTTGCACATTGGCTGTGAATACAATAGGTGATTATGTGGTCTGATTTCTCTCAGGTCTGAAGCTGCTGGCCACAGCCAGCAGGGATCGTCTGATCCACGTCTTGGATGCAGAAGACGACTACAG